CAGTCAAGCCTTCGGTCGTCTCCGAAGCACAGTTTGGAATCGCCACGGTCTCCAACTGAGCACGAAGCTGAAGATGTACAAGGCCGTCATCCTGCCGACGTTACTGTACGGAGCAGAGACATGGACGGTGTACACGAGACAGACACGTCGACTGAACCACTTCCACCTCAGTTGTCTCCGTCGCATCCCGAGGCTGAAGTGGCAGGATCGAATCCCCGACACGGAAGTACTGGAACGAACGGGAATCCTCAGCATCTACGCCATACTGAGACAAATGCAGCTGCGCTGGAGCGGCCACCTGGTGCGCATGGACGACGAACGACTACCCAAACGACTCTTCTACGGAGACGTCGCGACGGGTTCTCGTCGTCAAGGAGGCCAAATTCGCCGTTACAAGGATACTCTGAAGTCCTACCTGAAGCGCCTGCAAATCAACCCGACCAACTGGGAAGAGCTCGCTCGCGATCGTCCGACATGGAGGAGAACAGTGAAGACGGGCGCTGCTATCTATGAAGCCAACCGAATCGCCTCCGCCAAAGCGAAACGCGAAGCCCGCAAATCAAAACTTCGCCCAGTCCGCAACGCCGCCGCACAACCTCCCCCTACGTGTCCTCGATGTCAACGGACATTCCAGGCACGAATCGGACTTGTTGGACATCTCCGAACCAACTGCACCTCTCGAACTGCTCCAGCCATCGTCCCCCGCCCGCCTCTTCCTCGTCCTCTCTTCCGCCAACTAACTCTGACACTCCTTCTGCACCACCACTTCCATCCTCCTCCTTCTCCTCCACTGCCCCAGCGGCGGCTGTTCAGACTGCCGTCTCACACCTCACCAACCCCGACACAATAACCGCCACCACCCCCACCTCTCCCGATTCCAGTGATGAGGATCAGGACTACACCTGCCCTCACTGCGACCGCACCTTCACCTCTCGCATCGGCCTGGTCGGTCACTTGCGAATCCATCGCACAGAGACTGGCGAACCAGTGCCTGGAGCACCAACCTACACCCATCGCACTCGCCTCCACTGCCCACAATGTCCTCGCACCTTCACGCATCGCATGGGTCTATTCGGCCACATGCGCATCCACGAGAGCGGAATTGACCGCAGCCTTGACGCACCCACCCCGTCGAGCCCCACTCCCAATCCACCGCCTTGTGCACCCACTAACCACTCCCCAGCCGACATCGACGCCACCGACCTTACCACCCCTCACTCCTCCCCTTCCTCCTCCTCTTCCTCCTTCACTGCCACAACGACGGCCACTCTGGCGTCTGTAGCGCACGACTTCACCACAGCCGCACCTGACACAACAACAGGCACAACCCCTGCAACCTCCATCATCAGACGTGAGGGCCAGGGCTACATCTGCCCTCACTGCGATCGCACCTTCACCTCACGCATCGGCCTGGTCGGTCACTTGCGAATCCATCGCACAGAGACTGGCGAAACAGTGTCTGGAGCACCAACCTACACCCTCCGCACTCGCCTTCACTGCCCACACTGCCCTCGCACCTTCACGCATCGCATGGGTCTATTCGGCCACATGCGCATCCACGACGACCTGCGGTAGACAACCGCCGGTCACACCACACATTCCCTCACTCCCTACCTCCTAACACCATCACCCCACCAGACACCAACCCCCACACACCTATGCACTCAACTGCCGCCTCCCACGCAAGTGGGAAGTGTGCATCTCGACTCGGTCCCCATGCGGTTTCGGCTGCACGGGTGACTTCTGTCCGAGACTATCCCGACACGTCAAGTGTCGTGGATAGGAAGGTTGCTGATTGAGGCCCGCTCTCGGTTAACGCAGTTCGTCACGTTGTGTGTGAGTGTGTTGTGTGTAGTGGCGGACTGGTGGGCTGGGGACGGGCTGAAGCAGCACCTTCCACGGCACTCTCACGCAAGTGAGAGACACGCCGTTGAACCCCCGTTGTGTGAAATCCTGGTTTTTGTGTGTGCATGGGGGGCCAGGTCGTGCTGTGGCGCGCGCAGGCATGGTCAGTCGACCATGTCAGCCACCGCGCCCATTTCCCACTCCAGTCTGCTGACCGGCTCGGACAGTGGCTGGGGTGTGGGAATGGGAAGGGAGAGTGAGGTCGACGACTCAGCGCATTTTCCTCACTATAATCAATCTGACGCGCTTGAAGCTATCACGGTGCGCTAAAGGCCGTGGCTTGGAAGGTTGCCAACTGACGGGGTACCTTGGACCTCCTCCTTGACTGGAGGCGGTCTGAGAGTCAGGCTGCAATGGCTCCTTTTTAATGTGGCCTTTATGGCATTCCCACCACAGTGTGGGATCCGAGCCAGGCGTTGGCGGCACGCCTAGGTGCGGCTTCGGTTGTGCCAGCCTCCAAATCTCTGTTGTGTTGGTTGAAATCCTGGTTATTTGTTGTGTGGACCAGGGGGTGTGGTGGAACGCCAAGGTGAGGATCCGTCTGAACCATCCACCTGCGGCCTCCCTCGTCTCCGGTCTTCTTGACTCTGTCTTGACACGGGGCCCAGGCGGGGGAGGAGGAGAGAGAGTAGGTAGATGCTACGCAAGTCTACTGGCACTATAAACCCCTGCGTAAGTCACCGTCCCTGCTCCCACCGCTGCTGCAGCTGTGGGGCACACGGTGGACATCGTCGAAATCGACGGTCGAACTGTCGTGTAACGGATTTCATAAAATGGTACGTAGGCGAGTCGGTCAGGACTGGCCTGTATCGCCTTGAATAAGAAAAATAAGCGGCGAAATTGAAAACCAGTCTTGAGCTGATAGAAACCCAGATGCGGTCGGTTTCATTCAACCGATTTCATCCGAACAAGGGGGAAGGGAGATGCGACCAGACTACTAGTATATGGCGAATATAGAAGGCTTTGACAAGACCGCCGATGGAGCGCATTCTGTAAGGGCACGATGACAACCAGTCTCTGAACCCTAGCGAGTAGAATGTAATCCCGCTGCGTCAACGGTCTCCAGGCCTGAATTGCATATTCTAGATGCGGCCTTCCACACGTGCTGAAGTCCTTGAAGAAGCACTTATAATCGAAAACTGTGAATGCCCGCCTGATGGCGCACAGTACTGAACTTGCGACCTTAGGTGCCCTACAACATTGTGTAGAAAGCTTTAGGGTGTCTGCCGTCCAGATTCCGAGATCTTTTTACGTTTCTCCTTCTCGGAACTGCGTCCCATTTAGATACCAAGAACGTTGCCGGCTTACAGGCCTCGATCCTTTATGGTTCCGTAGATTACAAAAGGGACTATTTTTGCTATTTAAACTCTTATATAATCACACATTTAACCCGCTCACCTCTTTAAGACATCATATCCACCCACGACGTAACAGTCACCGTGAGGTCTTCTTATTTCTGCCTCTGGCACGTACTGTTAAATATCGTCGGTTCTTTTCTGTAAATGCA